GTAGACCTGATTCCAGCACGACTTGATTCCTTCTGCAGTGACAGAGAAGGGGCTGTGTGCAAGGTAGGGAAGAAGGAACTGGGAAACAAAACCTGCCCACACCTGGCACTGCGCATATGGCATCGTGTCCAGCAGCCCAGGACAATGCGGCTTTATAGTTCTCTGCTAAATGAGCGTTTGGTTTCCAAGTGGCTTTCCCATTTGACACAAGACAACTTTTCTTGGATTCTTCAGAACAAAGATTGTTTGGCATCGCTGTGGTGCTGTGTTTTGTTTGTTTGTTTCTGGTGTATGGGGGTGGGGGAGGGAGAACACCTGGCTGGCTGATTAATCTTGGCTCTGTGCTCAGGGGTCGCTCCAGGCTCTGAGGGCCATATGGGATTCCAGGGATCAAACCAGGGTGGACCATGTGTAAGGCAAGTGCCCTTCCCGCTGTGCTGTCACTCTGGCCCAGCATTCCTTGGGTGGCCATAACTGGGCATCAGTGATGACAAATGCCAGTTGGCTGTGCGGGAGGCAGTTCCTTGCTCAGTTTTTGTTTAAAATTCGACTGTAGGTTGTTTGAAAGGTGTGGACCACGAGAAGCAAGTACGAGCCAATATAGAAGAAATAGAGAACTTCATGGGTCTACAGAGTACTTAATAAGCACAAATCATGTTTAGTGGTTTTATGGTTGTTGGGGCCATGCATCAAACCTAGTTACCTTTAAAATTCCTTAAGTTGGTTGAAATTTAATTGACTTTTCATACCTCAGACTGTTTTGGAGTATGGAAATAGGCAGAATCTATTACAGTTCCTATCCACTTACCAAGTCCCATCCTGGTTCCAATATAGATTTTAAATTGCCACTTGAGAAACTTTTGTTTCAAATAGTTTCGACTAAAATTATTTCACTTTTCCGGGCCTGCTGAGAGAGGACTGGGGTTTAAGTGCTCTGCTATGCATGGGACAAGGTGAGATCTTATAAGCATACACAGTGACCCCACAAACAGAGCTAGAAGTAAACTATGAGCAACACTGGGTATGGCGCAACAACAACAAAAAAGAAGTTTACTTTTAAAAAAATCTGTGACAAATTTTTTGCCAATTATACTGTTTCTTAGTAGTAAGTTAGATAACTGACCCCGAACACACCTGGCAGCCCAAGACTCAATAAGCTGCCATACCTTAGTTTCCATTCTCACCCTTAACATAACTGTCATTTTAAATTCTCTATCTCACCTCTGACTTGCTTATGACTCAATTCATTTCAGATTCAACAAACTGCCAGATTCTTCAGTTTCCCCACTAAGTAATGTTTGGTTTAAATATAGTTTATAATAACAACAGGTTAGAAATAAGTCCATTTTATTGTTGGCAGGTAAAGGACTTCCAAACCTTAAAACAATCCAACATCCCCCAAATAAAATGAGTAACACAAACAACCACTAAGAAGTGTATGTGTTGGAGCCCTGTAGCACGCAGTCCTGTGACAGTGCTACAACTTTCATTTCATGGGGGGAATTCCTCTAGAACCCTGGAGGAACAGAGTTTAGTTGCTCATCAAGATTTCTTGCAGTGACCCTTACTAGGGCTGGAGCGATAGCACAGCAGTGGGGCATTTGCTTGCACACAGCCAACATGGCCAACTCGAGTTTGATTCCTCCGCCCCTCTCGGAGAGCCCAGCAAGCTACCGAGAGAATCTCACCCGCACGGCAGAGCCTGGCAAGCTACCGTGATGTACTTGATATGCCAAACACAGTAACAACAAGTCTCGTGATGGAGACGTTACTGGGCCTGCTTGAGCAAATCGATGAACGACGCTTACTGAAGAACTAAACATTCGGTCTTTCACTATCATATGCAATAATAACGTTTCCAAAGACGAATATTGAAACAGCTGGCCAGCGCTCAGCAGAGGGAGGAAGTAGATAACCTTAAAGGACATGCATGCAGCTGGCAGAAACTGTGCACTAGAATTGGTGATTAATTTCATTTCCACCTATGGCATTTGCACGCATAAGAATCACTGCAGTGACATTCTGACTCGACTGTTTGCACACCTTTTATTAGCAGGTATAGATTCAAGAGACACTCTCTGTTCAGTAATACCCTTTCATTTGTTAGGTGAAGTATTGAGAAAAGGATTAATGTACCAGGGATTGTAAGACAGTGCACTGGCCAGGTAATTACTATATTTCTAATCAATTTTCCTTGTGCATCTCCATGTGGTGCACAGCACAGTAAATGTATGCCTAGAGCATGAGGAGGCTTTTTCTTCTCTCTACATCACCCTGATAGCTGTGGAATCAATGTAAGGGAGATTTAGCTGAAATTATGGCAGGGGGTGTCCAATTTTTCACATCAAGAAATAAAAAGGCTTCTGGAACACCAGTGCTAATGCAGCTAGTAGCAGCATGTGGTACTCTTGCTCCTTCAGCAGTGAGAATACAGTGAAACTCTCAGGTGTGAGAATAATGGGCCAGAAACTGAGATCATTGACTGTGGAGAGAGGATGAGCACAGTACCCAAACCCTTCATCATTCAGCGGGGTATAGATCTGGCCTGTTCTTGCTGATGGAACATGATCACCCCTTGTGTCATTTCTTTAGGCTAAGCCTCAGGTGTAGGAGCCCTTTCCCTCCCTACTGCCAAGGCAGATGTGGTTTAGAAGGACATCTCTATGCTTTTATTCCTGTGTCGTATCAGTTTAGGTCAGCTTGGGCGTGGCAGAGCCCCTTGACTCACAACTAGGGCTAGAGGCTGGGCTGAAGGCCACCCCTGGGAGACCCCAAACCTAACATATATGCAAGTGTACAGGAAAAGTCCTGCACAGACTGTAGTAGGAAGTGGCTTCTCATGCAGAGAGGGAGATCCTGGGAAGAGAAGCAAGAATAACATGACAGGATAGAAGGACCCCAGCATCTCCCTAGAGCTGCTAAGCAGGACATGGGCCCAGGGCAGCCATGCATAAGGGAATCTGTCTTATATAGATGGGAGAATGCTTGTAGGTAAGAAAAATTCCATGTGAACTTTGTTTTTTCAACTGCACTTGTAGCAGTTTGCTTGGGTGTTGGCAGGCGCTATGCCGGCTGCTGGGAATGTTTCCACAGAGTCTCTGCAGAGGGTCAGCCTGCCTGCTCTTCTCAGCGGCACAGGTGTAGGAGTCTGCATGGAGTGAAAGGAAAAGGCACATTCTCTGGGCTCATTCCCATCTGTCCTTCAGCAGAAGGTGGCGAGCCACTCTCTCAAGTACATCTAACGACTTCCTTTTAAGGTTTTCTCAATGTAATTAAATAACTGTGATGTACACAGTTACTCATAGTTGCATCCTAGCATATGATATTTCAACACCAATCCCACCACCAGGGTCCACTTCCCCCAACGGGGCACACCTAAGTATTTTTTGCCTTAACAGTTAGCTCCTGTTTATCCTTCCTTTAAGTTTTATGATGCTTTACGAAAAGAGCCATCCGAGCCCCCACTTCATGTTCTAATGTTTGCTGGCTGTTAAATTTGAATGATGGTCAAAGATAAGCCTCTATGAAGTCAAAGCACCAAACCTGGGGGCACACTTGGAATCCTGCTTAGGGTCCCTGAAAACTACCGGCACTGTTTTGAAAATTCCACCAACAGTGAGTGCGTGACTCTCTAAGGCAGATACCTCTGAAGGTAGATATGCCAGGTGATTCCACTTTGAATTCACGCAGGCTGTGTACTAACAAATGAGCAAACAGCAACTGAAGGAGCGCTTGAAAATCCTTTCGTGGTGGACAGATTCCCGGCTAGAGCCGAGAAATAATCTGTTGGAAGGGAGAAGCCAGCTGTGGATTCGTACTTGGGAACTCTGGCCTTGGCAAAGAGAAAGAGAGCCAGCCTCTGCTTCTGCGTGAGTGGCAGCCTGAGGCAGACAGACCCCAGCACTCACGGGGAACGCAGGCGTGGGCATGTGCCAGCTGCAGAGACCAGGAAGGTGGAGAGCAGTGGGGTGCCCTCCCGGCCCTCTCGCTCTTGGCCCCCAGGCTCTCCCCAGTGCCTGGAGAAGATTTGAAAATGCAGGGACTTCAAAGCACCCTTCGCTGCTTCGGAAACTGGACTCGATTGGTCAGAGGTCCCCGTGCAGCGCTGGCCTGGGACAGTTGGTCTGAACTTTCGCGTCCTGCCACTGGCGCCCCCAAGTGCCAAGCGGTGCCCGTCCCAGCGCAGAGGCAGCACCGGAGTCAGGGACCGCCAGGACGCGCCTGCCCCTGCGGATTCCTTCCTGTCAGTGGGCTCCCGACCCTGGCAGGGGACTTTGGGAACACCGGAGCCCCTGCTGCCACCCCCAGAAACGTGCAGGGGTGCCGCCAGGGTGGAGGTGGGGGGCGAGGACTGAGGCTAGAAACCCCGGGAGGGATCCTCCGGAGGCGCAGAGGACAGGAGCATCTCCCCGCGGTGTGCCAGAGCCGCCTTGGGGGACTTGGGGGGACCTCAGCGGGCAGCTTCCCCTCCCCCTACACACACACACCCTCTAAAACCAGGGCGAGCACAGAGCGGGGCAGGGCAGGGCAGGGCAGGGTCGGCCCCTCCTCACCCCTTCCCCCATCCGGGGCAGGGGCCGAGCGCGGCCTGGGCGCGGTGGCGAGGGGCAGGGGCGGGAGGGGAGCGGCGCGTTTTCACTCTTTGTCGCTGTGGAATTGGGGGCGGAGGAAAAGCCCGCGGTGGGAAGCTATAAAAAGCGGCGGGCCGGGCGGGAGCGCAGAGGGGCCGGCGGGCGCGGGTCGGGCACCGCGTGGGCGCAGGGCGCAGCTCCCGGCTCGGGGCCGCTCGCACCCGGGTCACGCCTCCGCGGCCGCAGGGCCGGGCCCCCCTGACCGCGTCCAGCCGCGGCCGCACTTCCCATCCCTTGTAGGAGCTGAGGCGCCGGGAGGGTTCCCACGGCGCCGGGTCCCAAGAGCGCACGACCACCGGGGCAGCCGAGCCCCGCCGGCCCCGCTCCCCCAGCCGGGGGCCCCGAGCACCCGCACCCCCGCCGCCCGCCGCCTCCCCGGGACACCCCGCGGGGCCAGGATGCGCGGACGGGACGCGTGCCGCTGCCTGCTGCTCCTGGGCGCCGCGCTGCTGGCCGAGGGCGCGCAGCTCAACTCCATCAAGTCCTCCCTGGGCGGGGACACGCCTGCCCAGGCCGCCAATCGCTCTGCTGGCATCTACCAAGGACTGGCTTTCGGCGGCAGCAAGAAGGGCAAACACCTGGGCCAGGTAGGCACTCCCCGACCATCTCCACCACCGCCGCCGCCGCCGGGGAGGCGCAGAGCTCAGGGCGCTGGGGGCCGGGTGACCGCCGGGTAGGGGACGCTGAGCGTAGCTTGTTCGACCTTTGCTCGGTGACCTGGACTGGGATCTAGAGCTGGCCCCGGGTCCCGGGACGCGGCAATTCTTGGGCACCCGGCACTGGTGTGAGCGGTTCGGGCGCGCGCCCTCTTCATAGCCCTGATGCAGAGCTCTGCTTTCCTCCCCCGGAAAGGAGAAACGGAGGCACAGCGTGACCAAGTGACTCTCTCGGGGGGCACACAGCTAGTGTGGCAGCAGCCCAGGGTCCCGTGGATACCCGGAACCCCCCGGAGGTGCTGCCCGTCCAATCGCTCCTTTTCTTCTCTCCACTTTTTCCCTTCCAAGAAGTGCGTTCCTAGTCACGGAACTGCAGTAGGTGTTGATTTTCCAGTCCTGCCTGCCTGGTCAGTCATCCAGGAGGAAGCTGAAAAACCAAGGGACAGTGGGGTCCCGCCAGGGATGAGCAGCACTAGCTAATAGGATGATGGAGCTATTGGTGGGGGATTAGAGAAGTGCGCGCAAGTGTCTCCATCACAAAGAGTGACAGTCTGGGCGCACAGCAGCCAGGAGAGGGGGCCCTAGGAACCACCACAGCTCCCTCTTCTGCAGGAAGCCAAAATCAAAGCCCAGAGTGCCACAGCACACGCACCTCGCACAGCCCAGGCCCCCGGAGAAACCCCTGCCGCGCAAACGCTGGGTTTCCCGATTCCTCCGTGGAGCCCGTATTTGTCTTGCCGTTTCTACCTGCACCCCTGCCCCTGGCATCCTTGTCCTCTGCCCCCAGCGCAGACTGGCAGCTGGGCGGGTCCTGGGATAGCTCTCCCGCCTGGCCAGGGCTTGGCCCCCTACTGCTCTGTAGGGGCAACAGTTCTCTGGCAGAGAGTGGTTCCTGGGCTCTGAGTGTCAAACGTATTTCTTCTAAGAGAAATACAGGCAAGAGGAAAAAAAGCACAAAGGCGTGTAGGGATGCATGGTGTGGTCAAAGAGCGGCCTGTGTGCAGGAGAGTTTCTTTTCCCGGGAAAACAGACTGATGTTGGCGTTGAGAATGGCCTTAAGATTCTCTCACAAATTCAGCGCAAGATGAGGCGAAATGTAGATTATGGATACTCTCTCTCTCTAAGACATCAGGCGTTCCCCACTCACGATTCTGCCTTCAGGTTCTTGTTTGAGAGCTGAGTGTTTAGTTCCGCCAAAGACATGAGTGGACTCGACCCTGTTTCAAGGTTCTTTCCACTCCGATAGTCATTTTTGGGTTCCAACATCTGATGTTCTGTCGCCTAAGTTACACCAGACTCTTCCCTAGCCTTGGGGTTTCATGGCCTAGATTGAGGGATGTATCCCAAAACCGAACTTGCTGTATGTGAGATCGTATCATCAACATTACACAAATTGAATGAAATATTTCTTTTTTGTTCTTTTCCAAATATCCACTCTTTTAAGGAACTGCAATTCTATATGGCTTTAGATCAATTTTTTATTCAATTGGGAAAGTGAGATAAATTTATTTTATAAAAATTTCAATTTTTTTTGCCTCCCAAGCAATACTGGGGGTGACTTGCAGTGCGGAGAATCCAATCCCGGGATCCTGAGAATGCACAACAAGTTCTCGGGCCTTCTGCCCTGCCTCCTCGGTCCTCGAATTGGATTTATTTTATGCCCCAATAGTTCTGTAGAACACATACTTCTGAAAGAGTACTAGATCCTTAAATTATGAAATGGGTTTTGTAACAAATGAGAGTAGTTGTAGGTGAAAGTAAAATATTAACTGGAATGTTAGCTGGAAATAGGAGGGTTACATTTGATGTGCCCCCGCTTCTTGTAGTCTAAATGTGTTCTGAAGAAACAGGATGATTTTTTTTCAGATCTCTATCTCTTTCCTACTACTTTACATAGGTAACAGAATTATTTTTAATAATAGCTTGGAAATTAGAAATTTGAGGGAAGATGTCACTTCCTTTTATGGCAAATACTCTAGAACTGAAATGTGGAAGAGCAGAATTTTTATCCTTCAGGATAGAAAACACCATAGTTTGAGAAGATTGAAAGTTCCAGCTGATTCAGTTGGCTAATTATTTACTTTGACCCCAAGTCTGAATCTCTCCCTTTCAGTCTCTATTAATGAAGTTGAAATGTAGAATAGAACTTCAAATGGAGATGTTAGAAAGCTTTTGGTCTTTTTCTTAAGTGAAAAATTAATTAATTGTTCATTTTTCTTATTTCTTTTCAGAATAGAGAATTTACATTAAGATGTTATCATTGCAGAAGAAATTATTTTAAAAATTAGTATTTTATTGACCTATGAAAATGACCCTAAATGAGCCCCAAGGTTTTCTAGATTTCCTGTATTATGGTTTCGTGTAAAACATAACATTCTTATTTATTAGGAACTCTTCTTGTACTCTGAGAAAAGTTGATTATTTGCGAACCATTCCTTGTAAAACTGTCTTAGGATTTTGAGAGATTTAATGTGCACCAGGAAAAACACAGAGGCGTTATCTTTCTAGCACTTTGGTTTTGGTTTTAAAGACAATTACTTGTTCTGATGGAAGCTAATACAGAATTTGAGTATAGTGGGATTCAAATGACTCCACCAGAAGTAGAAAGTAAGATTTTGCTGAATTATTCACATCAGTTTTAAATGGGCTTTACTTTTGTAGTTTTTGCAAAAGTAGCTTTACTTTTGTAGCTTTTTAAAATGGTAATAAGTCTACATATATATAGATAGATATGTGTACCTATATCTATATATGTAGCTATATATCTACTTAGGTGTAGAGATATCTACTTAGGTGTAGATATCTCTACACCTAAGTAGATATATAATTACTTGTGGGCTATCACTATACTATCATATATAAGTCAATTTTACTACTATAAATATGCCAATTTCCAGACTATTGTAAGTTTTTAAGCTAGAAATAATCTCAAGCAGACCTCAATATTATGTGGATACCTATATTCTGATTAAATGTTCTAACTTAATGCTACCTCTGAAGTTTGAAGTTATCAATTTTTATGGGCCATCTTAGAAACAAGTTTTCTAAAGTCAGCAATGAAATCAATTTACTTTTGCAATTCACAGCCTTTTTTTTTAGCAAGGAAGTTTTTGGTTTTGTGTTGCCGTTGCCGTTTTGTCACCTTCCTCTTGGTCTTTTTGAGAGAATTGAATGCAGTCCATTAAAACTTTGAAATATTTCAAAATGTTCCAACGGTGGGAAATCATTATACTTCAAAGTTAGATAACCCTTCTGGTTATCTAATTTGGAGACTGTGGTTTTCTAACATAATACAGACATGGAGGATAGTGGGTTGGATAAGTTAATTTTAAGAGGAAGTTTGAAGTACCATGAAACAAGCCGAAGGAGCTCAGTCTGTTCAGGAGCTCTGATATTTGCATGTCACAATTTCTTGGATTAAAATGCTATGTCTCTTTCTATACATGCTCCAGAGAGCACTTGTTGAAATCAGCTATTAGCATGATTTTCCACAGATGATTGTTTAACCCCCTGAAATGATCTCTGACTTTTTAAACCCCACCTTTTCCCTGCTGTACACCAACTGGTGCTAAAGTTAATTGGGAAAGCAAATGATCTTGAAAACTCAGTTATACAAAACAAAAAGCAACTTGAACCCATCTGAAGGAAGGTCCCTTTTCTTTCACTGTGAATAACAGCCAATGAATAGTTAACTCGAGGGAAAGGCTACCTAGTGAAATAGTAAGGGAAGTATTTTAATGATAATCAAAGTATGAGCATCCATCATTTTACTTTTGTGTAAGAGGAGAGAAAGCCAGAGACAGGTGACCTAAACTCACTCCAGCTGTGTCTCTGACCCTGACGTCGTCCTCATCAGCGACACAAACTTAAAATCTGAGAGTGCTGGAAGTAGAGCGAACGCGGGCGAGCAGGATCTCAACTGAGTTCGGTCCAGGAGAGCACTTGCTGCCTTTGACTTCCCAGCTCAGTTATTGCCGATATGTGTTAGAAGAGTCTTACACTCATGGACATTCTGTAATACTCAATATTACCATTTTAGACCCTCCTTTCTCTTCCTTTGGTATCGATCAAAATGAAGTATAATCTTATTTCCATAAGATTTCCTGATGGTATTTTAAAGTCATTTTACTTGTGATTACTCTAGTCACTTGTACTTATCTAGAAAAAGGAGACAAAGCTTCTTCTAGTTATTTACTTGATCATTGTTACATTATTTGTGTTTACCTGTACCTTGTAGAAACAATTAAAAAAAAAAGAAAAGCTCAAACAGAAACAAATTAAAAACCATAATAATAATTATCCATTTTTATTGTTTTGGGATTTGTTTTGTTTTAAGAGTTCATAGAATGATGAAATATAAAATTCAGGGCCAGAGAGATATTAAGGATGTTTTACTGCATATGGTTCCAAAAGAACTGCCAGGTATCTGGTACAGTCATCTATACACACACACACACACACACACACACACACAAAATGCATAATGAAAATTGAGTCTTACTATTTTTTTTTTTGGAAATAGAATTTTCTCTTCCTCAACTCTTAACTCTCGCCAAGGAGTTGAGATCAGCGTATTTTTCACTAACAGTTTTTTTAGGAACTAATAGAAGCCATTTGCCCAAATAAAGAGATCAATAATATAAAATTGAGGTACTTTTTTAATACAGACATTCATCCAAAGAATTTAAGTATATAAAGCTAGTTCACAATGACAGTTTATAAAGTGGCTTTCTAGTGAGCCTCTTCAGCTCACAGCTGAGTCAGTGCCCACTTGCCGGGTCCCAGTGAGTGACCAGAAGGCCACAAGCACCACCAGCAGCGACCCAGAGGTTCTCAGCTCGCTCCCCTTTGTATTGATAAACTGAACCAGAAACCTTTAAGGCAGAGGGATTTAAATATCACATATAAATTGTTATATTTTAACTCAAATA